TCCTGTTCCACCCAGTACATTTAACCCCACATAAAGCTGAGTGAATAATGGAATATTGGTTCAGTTTTTCAACAGAGAATCAATGGAAAACTTTTATATCTTTCCTAGTAAAAAATACTATGTCCAGATGAATTGTTGTGCCCTGTAAAATGTAATTATTCGGCATTTTTGGTATTTGAAATTGTCCTAGTGCAAGAGCCAAATCCATGACAATTTAAATCAAATTTTCCATCTGTTTGAGCATTTTATCTTTCTTAGGATTGGAAATTTTTTCATGCATAAAAATCTGGAATATTGTGGTTTAATGTGAAGAGCAATAAACATTTTAGTGGAGGATACAAGGTTTCTGCTGGTAGTTTGAGAACAGCATTCTAGTTCTTATACACTATGCAGAATGGAATAAAAATCTGGCATAGAATCTGCTAGTGAATGAATGATTTGTGGAGGCAAGAAAGATGAGCTGTCAGAGTAAGGGAGACATTCACTGCTCCCTTTCATGAGGGGAGTGAGAACCAAGCTCTATCCTGTGTATTTTTTGCACTTCAAGCTCATTTCCCAGCAGGACAATTTTTATTGAAGCAGAAGGCTCCCTCAGTTTTATGCTTTTCCTTGCAATGATTGTTAGAACAGAGGGAATCTTGTTGTGGTCTTAATTTCACACTAGTCAGCTGTTGAAATACTTGTTTTCTTTATGTCAGAACATACCTGACTGTTAGAACTCAGTAAGCTGTGCCTGAAATGTCTTAGGCTTTTTCAAGAAATATGGGAAAGGTGATGGCAGTGTATATTTGTAAGTCTTATCTTCCACCAGTTTTTCTTGAAGAAACATCTTCTCCTTTTCCATTTCAGGTTTAAAAGAAGCCATGGGAGCATCAGGAGGACAGTGGGTATATGTCAGTGATGCCCATGTTCAGATGGTTCCAGAATCAAGAGTACTCAATGCACAAGCATATCTACTTTTTTATGAAAGATTATTCCTATAAATCTCAACAGTTTAATTTCAAAGATGGTAGTGGCTATTTAGTTTATCTTTCATAAAGCTGCAGTGGTAAGAGTACCTGTAAATATTGTGCCTTTATCTTGTAGAGAATTTATCATACGTTGACTCTGAAGTTCAGTCAAGCTATTAGAAATACCTGAATGGTTCTCTTTAAAGTATGCACTTTGCCAAACATTTAAAATTCCTGGATTCATTAAAATACAGTACCATTAGAATGTAAGATGGTGTAAGGTCTCTGGAAAGTTTGTTCTTTATTTTAATGAAGAAAAGCTTTCACCCATAGCTCTAGAGCAGTTGAGAATAAAAATGCTGGTAGTGCCTGGATTTGCTGGTGTACAGTAACAATAGCAAGTATTTCAACTGCTTGTGATCTAGTCCAGAGCCTTCCCACCACTGGCTTGGATCTCAGCTGTGAAGATTTCTGCAAACAAGAACCTGTCCA